ACATGCCTGCTCCTGCCATACTATGTAAATAAGACTATACCTGCCTGACCCTTCTGCTTCTCCTCTTATTCACTACTCATAATGAGCCTCTCTACACGCAGTACTCAGAATGTTCTGGAAGTGCCCATGCCTCGCAGGTGTGGAAGCCGCCTAGCACCTGAGCTGACAGGCGCAGTGTGATGGAGGCTGGAGGCTTATCTAGCCTGTGAGATGAGAGTTGCTAGGTCAGCCATGCATTTGTTGTCAGTAGGACACTGACACACAGGAGATACTCACTGAATGATTATTGGAGGAGGAAGAGGAGTAAAGAAATGAGTAATTCCTTTCTCATCTCTGTAGCTGGGTTCCTATGATGGGAAAGACTGCAGGACAATGGAGACCAGAGGGAAGGCTGTTTGGGGGTACCAGGGCTCCTCAAGGTGCTCCAGATACCAAGGTGGAGGGTCTAGGCAGGACACTCAGACAAGGAATGATGTTTCTCTGTGTAACAGTCCTCACTGCCTGGCTGTCCTAGAACTCACTCTGTAGAGGCTGGCCTCAAACTCACAGAGATCTGCCCGTCTCTGCCTCCTGAGTTTTGGGATTTAAAGGTGTGCACCACCACTGCCTGGCCAGCAACAGGTCCTTTTCTAACACTGACAAGATACTTGGGATACTGGCCCACGGAGGGCCCCAGGTTGTGCGTGTCTGAGGAATAGGAGGGAGACAAAGGTCTTGGACCCAGCCTACTCTTCTGAAGCCAGAGCCTTGCAGGCAGGTTCTGTAGCTTCTTTGAGCCTTGAGACCCCATCTGGAGAGCAGGGGTAATATGAGAAATCCAACTCCACCTTCCAGATTTACTAGGCTTCCAGTATGCATCACCCCAGCACTGGCCATCTCAGCTCCTCTATGGCTACAACCTCCTCTGTTCCTGCTCCTAGACAATGTCTGCACTTGCTGGGCATGGGCACTTTCAGAACATTCTTAATACTGAGTGTAAGGAGGCCGACTGGTGTTTTTATATATAGAAACTGTTCTCATTTCTTTTTCACAAGAGGAGCCTCTCAGTCCTGCTTTGCAGGAGACACACCACTCTCTGGGCTGTGAGCAAACCAAATTAAGAAAATCACTCTCTGACTAATTTTATGGCATGAACAAACATTTGATGGTATATTGGAAGGCAGTGTCTAGCGTTTTGGATGAAAGCTTTAAGGATGAGCAATAACTAGGGAAGTTTCTGAGGATAAATCTTAGCAAAATTCACCTACTTTAAATACAGTTTGCAGAGATTTCCTGAGTAAATTGGGAGCATGGGAACCATGGGTGAGGATTGAAGGGGAGGCAGGGAGGGGAGCAGAGAAAAATGTATAGCTCAATAAAAACAAACAAACAAAAAACAAAAATACAGTTTGCAGACTGGGGTGTGTAGTTTAGTGGAGGAATGCAGCCTAACAAGTACAAAGCCCTGAATTCAATTCCTAGTACTACAAAATTAATTTTTTAAAAAGTGCAACCTGAAGCCAGGTGTTGTGGAATAGACTATCTGTTTAAATATGTAAAGATGATGCGCTGCATTTGTTTGTGCTGCAGAACAATTGCTTAACTGTGTAAAGATGTGTTGCATTTGTCTAAAAGGTGTGTTGTTATTTCACCTTGCCTGCTTAAGGCACCTGAAAATAAATAACTAATAAAAAGCTGAATGGCCAGTAGCTAGGCAGAGGAGGAACAGGTGAGGCTGGTGAGCAGAGAGAAGAGGGGAGCCACCCAGCCAGCAGGGGTCGGCAAGCAAGACACAGAGGAAGCAGGAAAGCAGGCCGGACATGAAGTAGATGAGGCTAAGGAGTCTCGGGGCAGCACACAGATGAATAGAAATGGGCTAATTTAAGTTAAAAAAATAAAAAGAACTAACTAGAAACAAGCCTAAGCTAAGGCCGAGCAATTATAATTAATAACAAGTCTCTGGGTCATGATTTTGGTGCTGGCAGTCCATGAAAGCCTGCTTCAGCCAGGTATAGTGGAGCATGCCTTTAATCACACCTCTGGGGAGGCAGGTGAATCTCTGTAAATTCAAGGCCAGTCTATATAAGTGGGTTCCAGGAAAGTGAGGGCTACATAGAGAGACCTTATCTCAAAACAAAACAAAGCAAGGTTGGAGATACACAGTGATGTCACTGAGCATGATGATACTGTGGGACAAGAAGAGGACATGTTCAGGTAGGGGGGCATTCTCTCTCTCTCTCTCTCTCTCTCTCTCTCTCTCTCTCTCTCTCTCTCTCTCTCTCCTCTCTCTCTCTCTCTCTCTCTCTCTCTCTCTCTCTCTCTCTCTCTCTCTCTCTCACACACACACACACACACACACACACACACACACACACACCAGTGCTACAAAGCCAGAGGTGCACACAAATGCAATGAGCACTAAGGATCCCCTGAGAAGCTAGAGAGGCACAAGAGTAGTGTCTACAGATATTCAGGAATGCATAAACCACAGAATATAAAGAAAACAACAGGTACAGTACCCCACTATACACAAAAGCCGCCCACATCCATAGACACATGCAACAGACATCCAGACATACACACCTGCTGACAAGACTGGGCATTGTCTCTTGCTCTCTTCTCTGCCTGGATATCGATCTCACCTGAACCCATAGGACAAATGAGGTCTGTCCCTTGTGGAAATAGCTTGCAGGTGTCAGGACTCACATGGCACTCTGAAGCAGGAAATTCCACACAGGAGGACCCTAAAGTTCTGTCAGTTCAAGTCAGTTCTAATACACCTGCCTGTCTGTGGAAGCCTTGGGTCTATGTGTAGGCGCTAGGCCCTCCTGGGTCTTTGGCTCAGAGAGAACCCTACAGCCAGTCATACTGTGGACTAGTTGGCTCCCTTCCTGGCACCGTCTGTCACTCCTATGCAGCTGCCACAGGGGGCTAAGCTACAAGCATCTGGCAAGTTAGTTGTAGGCTTTTTAAGAAAACATTAGAAAATCAAAGTCTGGGGAGAACGATTGCATGATGGTTGTGGGTTGTGGACTTAGAAGCACAAAAGGGGCCTGGTAGCTCAGAGTAGTGGTGCTGCAGATACTCCGTGGGTCTCCAATCTGTCTATTTTACCATAGGCAGGCCAGAGATGACCTGTTATCTAACTTAGATTAGCTGTAGAACCTCTGCCTAATACTTTAGTGTAACACAAAACCACAGCATCAGGAGTCTGCTCCAAGATGTAGTATTCTTCCTTCCCAAGGGATGCTTCAGACCCCTGGAAATTTAGATGACAGAGATGGGGCTTGGATTTATTCCTCTGCCCAAGTGCTGGCCCAGAGATGAGTGTCTTGAGTCCAGTTCTGGCTGTTTCAGCCCCCAGTTTCTAGCACTGCCAGCAGCATCTGCTGTGGCTACTGGAGCCCTCTACGTTAATAGGCTGGGGTCAGGGTTCTTAGCAGCTTTCTCCTCAGTGCCCAACACAGCCCTGGGCACAGTGCCATCCTCAGAAGCATCAGGTACAGGGGAGGGCAACAGAGAAGGCAGGTCCGTCATACCTGGGGCATCTACAACCACTCTCAAGGGCTGCTGTTCTCAGTGATCAGACGTGAACAAGGCTGCCCAAGGGTACACCCTGCAAAGAAGGGTACAAGTCTCCCTGTCAAAGATCTCCTTAGGTGACCACCTGCAGGAATCACCTCTCTGCGATGTCCACAGACCCTAAGATCAAAGGCCCAAATACTAGACTTTTCCAGCCAAACCCAAGCTCAAAATGGAGCAAGGTCTGATGAGCCTTGGCCTTCTACATCCTCAGGTACACAACGGAAGAGGTGGGGTTGGGGGAATGAGGAGTGCAGATGGAGTGAGAAGACACTAGGTCCCTCCTTCAGCCAAGGCAGGCATCCCCCCCCCCCCCCCCCCCCCCGTGCTCTGGCCTCTGAAAGGGCCACTGAGCCTGAGCTGCTGACCCATTCCAATTCCTTCCTTGCTTTCTTTTCAATACCCAGGAATTCTAGGGTAGAAACCAGGGTCAGGGGAGATGCTCCAGTAGGCCCCCGCTGGGTAACTAATGGGTTAATTGCATACCCCATAAAAAAGCCACTGCAATTTAGAGAGTGAGCCAAGCAGGCCCTGACTGGCAGTAAATCAGGGATGAGACAGGTGGAGTCCCTGCCCTAGTCCTCCAAGGAGCCAAAACGGCAGTAAGTCTACAGAAATGGCTTTTATGAAGCTCTGGGTTTTATGATGACGTTAATGTTTCTCCTGATACTTATGGGAAAATGAAGTAAGTCACGGGCAGGTGCAAGAACTGCTCTGATTGGTGCCAGGCCACTCCAGGAACTCAGGTAGATGAGGGAATTGCCTGCACCTGAGGTCATGCCCCTAGTGGATTGGCAAGCTGGCATCAAGCCCCCCCCCCAACCAGTTGACCTGGATATGCCTGCCCACCCAGGGATTTATGCAGAGTTTATTGACTGCCGTCTTGCCCCAATGGGGCTCTCCATGGGCCAAGAGTCCACTGTTTGGGCACACATTCATCCCCACAATCTTTCCACACAGGGGTAGCTCTGGACTTCTCTGGGTCCAGTCTAAGCCCAAGCCCCTTCAGTACAAAGATGGAGCTGTGTGCTGGAGTACAGCTGCTCAAACCACAGGCTTCTTTGACACCAAAGACCCTTGGTCCCTAACCAGACCCAAGAGGCAGCGGCCTGTTCAACCTATTAGCAGCAGCCTGGCTCCCCACTTCCTGGCACCCTGCTCACCTACACAAAAACCCACCTCAGGTTCCTGGCCAAAATCCTGGAGACCCTGTCTTATGTGTGTCCCAAAGCATCAAGCTTCCCATGAATCTCAGTTCAGGGGCATGTCCACCCTTTGCCTGCCCAGCAGCTGTTGAAGTCAGAACCAACAGGATTCTAAAGGGGAAGAGTCCAGGGTGATGGGGCCCTCTAGGCACTGGAGCTGTGGGACAGCTGCAGTTGAGGGCTGGCCCTGAGGCAAGGACAAAGACAGCAGGGGAGGAGGGGCTGGAGACTTACTGAGTAGCCTCTCCCGGAAACCGCCTGTGCAGAGCTCTGTGGGGAAAAAGTATGAAGACAGTCAGTGACAGGCTGAGCCACAGCCAACTGCCCCCAGCAAACAGGCCCGCAGACCCTAGGGGCAGAAGGGCCTTGCTGGAAAGTGGAAAACAGGGCTGAGCATAGTCTTCTGCACCAGACAGCTTTTGGAGCCTTCTTTCAAGCAGTGGTCTCCCCTCTGGTTTAGCCATGTCAGCAGTTATTTCAATACCTCTGGGCTAGCCCAGGAGATGAGCCCTACCTAGTAGAGGGGGCCCCACAGAGATGCCCTTAGACTATCCACAGCTCCTTCAGGACTAGGATGCTAAAGCCATTCCCCAAAGGGCAGCAGGAAGATCCTTCTGGAGGAGGGTGGTATCATAGGTTGCTAGGTTAGCCAACAACTATGGTGGAGGCGAGCAGGAGAGCCCAGGGCACTAGGAAGCTTCCTTCTGTCCGGCTTAAGAACACCAGAAGAGAGACAGCTGTATCTCAAGCTGCTAGGGATTCCATAGCCCAAAGATGGGCCATGAACCAGGATCAAGCACGTGTATGTGCACATGAAGCAGAAGCTGTGGCAGGTAGGGGTGCAAAGAGCTAGGCTACTGCAAAGTGCGCGGTGGGGGCTGTGAGGCAGGTGACTTGTGACAGTAAGACAGGAGAATAGAGAGTGGACAGAGCACACAAAGGAGAGTCAGCAAGGAAATGGGAGCTAGTAGGTGAAACTGCAATCCTCTCTTCATTCACAGCAATCCGCCACATCCTTTTCTTTGAACGACTAACAGGGCTAGGCCACTGCTTGGAGGGTGGAGCTCACCCACTCCTACCCCTGTTGGATCCCACCTGCCAACCAAAGGCAGCTGATGGGGTGGGGGTGGGACATACTTGGTGAATTCTCAGCTTCATGTCAAGCTGTGTTCAGAATGCAGCTTCATTTACCCTGGGCTGCAATTAGAGTGCTAACTAGGGCAGCCCTGCGGCCCCAGACAATTACCAGCCTATTTTTCCATCTTGCAGCAACAAGATCAGGAGCCTGGCAATTAAGCCTCCCTCTGCGACAGCAGGCTGCACCCCCAGTCCCCTATTTAAATGATAATGAGACACAACTCATTCAATTTAGTCCTTCAAAAAAATGTACTACCCTGAGGCCACTTCAGGAGCTGGGCAGGGTTGCTGTCAGTGGCCAGTCCGGAGCCACCAACCCAGTGGGTAATCCCTCTGCTTCTACCCCAGTTCTTGTAGTCCCTATGCTTCATTTTGGTTGGCCCAGTAGGCTGGCCCTGTGACAGGCTCCAGACCCCTTCCACCTGGCTTTGTGGCTGACTAATACAGAGACCTGGTACCCAGGGGCCTTTCTCAGGGACACTGATATAGCCCCAATTCAGATCGTTGCATGTACACCCCTACCCTGCATCACCAGCCCCAGGTACCTCAGGACCCATGGCAAGACTGGCCTGACACCTTGGATTGAGACACATTTTTGGAGTCATTTATACCCAGGCATCACTGCAGGATGCTGGTGTAGCATCTGCTCTAGGACACGAGGATGTCCACCTTAGGGTTCCAGGGCCAGATCTCAGGCCACTACGCTGTGCACTATGAGATACTTGATATTCCAGATGGGCTTCTGCCAGCTCCTAACTGCTGTCCTTCATTTAAAGCCCTCCTTCTGGTGAGGTCTCAATTTGTGAACAACTGCTTTAGAGAAGGCAAACTGCTAACTGCTCATGTGTGGCCTCCGTGTAAACTGCCAGGCATGGTCAAAGCCATGAGACACCTGCAGGAGCCACCAGGATGTCAGTGACGGGTACTCACATCGCTCAGCTGGTCCCGGGAGTTGCTATGCTGAGAGCTGGAAGCTTCAAGGACACTGTCATCGTCACTGTTCTGGTCACCCCCTCTGGTCATGGTGACCTTCATCTGGGGACAGGGAGAAAAAGTCTCAGGCAAACGGGCACTCACCAATAAGACACCCTGACCAGAGTCACAACCTCCCCACAAAAAGCCACTGGGACTAGGCTCATTCCAGGGCTGGACGTGCCAAATATGGCAGGAGGACATTTCCCCTTAACTGGAGGACATGGGTTTGTTGGGAGACAGCACAAACAACAAAGAGATGTAGGGCCAGGAACCCACCAGGCTGAGTACTTACAAATTCATCACCAGACAGAACAGGAAAAAAAAATTGCACCGAGAAGCTACACCATCACTGGCTCTGTCCTTGATTCTTCCAATCATTGACTCTGAAGATACCCCAGGGGACTGAGAGGCCTGCTCTCCCTGCCCTTCCCTACTACATCAAGACATTACACCCATGCACCTGCAGGGCCTCCTTTAGTAGGCACACTCACTCCTTATGTATGTGACCTTGAGCTACTTCTTAGCTCCTGGATGCCTCGGTTTGCCATTTGCCTTTTGCAGGGCAAAGCTGTAGGCACACACAAACATCTCAGGGGCCAGCTGACACTGGTTATCCTTAGTGCTTAGCACGTTCTGAGACTGCTGACTGTTTGGAACAGCCCTTAGGACAACCCATTTCACTCTCAGCTCAGAAAAAGGAAACAGGCTGAGGCATGGTGACAGATATCACTGGCCTTGGCATTAGATACCAGCACCAACAGGAGCAGCCAGTTATGCAGCTGGGTTCACAGCATCCTGGGACTACTCGTGCAAAGGCCACCTTCTGGCCCCAGACACAAACACGACTGTCTAGGCATGATGACCTCACACTTCTGCCCGGTATAGGTCTGCGATCTGTTTAATAAGATCATTCCCACATCTTACAATGGATGAGCTGGGTCTCCTCATGAACAAACTGGGTGCAGTGTTCATTCAGCCAGCACAGGATGCTGAGGGGCTATGTGATTACATGTGACCATTTGTCCTGCTTCTACCTCTTTCACCTCCCCTGGCCTCACATTCCAGAGCCATTGATACAGTTTTTGGCTAAAGTTCTTAGAATCCAGCTAGTCATTTTACCAAAGCATGTGCCAGCCCTGGAACTACTTTAGGGCCTGGAAGTGGCTAAGCCTCTGAATCTGCCAACCTCCCTCCAGCCCCAGACTTCCAGTAATCCAAACCCCTTTCCTCCCCCCAGAGCTAACAGGGTACCAAGGCCGAGACACTAATTGGATGTTAGTTCATGACCAGATAGCTAAATGGGGGCCCTCTCACCCAGGAAAATGTGTAAGGCCCTAGCGAAGTGAAGGTCATGTCTTTGGGGCAGAGTCTAGGTAGGGTGCAGATGAACTAGGAGCTGAAGGTGATCATAGTCACTGACTGAATTCCCCCAATGGGACTTTCCATCACTGGACCCATTGAGAATCTACTGGTATCTATGTCATCGGTTTGATTGATTTGAGGGTACTCTCTCTTCTGACCTACAATAAGTGGATAAAGACTCACTGCTAACTCATGAGGGCTGAAGAACACACCTATGTAGTTGAACTATGAGTACACAGAGCATGCTTTCTGTTTGACACATACATGCAGAAGTCATCCTTTCTGAGTCAGACACTAGAGTGAGTGATATACCTATGATTCCATGATAGAACCCTGTGGGTGGGGTGGGCTGGTGTCTGTTATCCTGTCTTCAGGGTTGAGAGTCCCATTCCCTACAGTGTTACAGAGCTGACTGAGTCCTGTACTGTGGAAACCACTGCAACCACAGACACACAGACAGTTGCCACCTACTTCTAAAACCAGGTCATCCAAAACAGCCCAACCTGTTTGCCCTTTGATCTTTCCTGCTTCTTCCCTGCTTTGAGAGTCTATTAGCTATGCCAGAGGCTGTGAGATGCCATGCTTCTATCTCCATCTTTGTGTGAAAGGAGGAGGTAAACTATTTGTTTGTTTGTTTGTTTGGAGACAGGGTTTCTTTCTTTTTTTTTTTTCCGAAACAGGGTTTCTCTGTAGCTTTTGGAGCCTGTCCTGGAACTTGCTCTGTAGACCAGGCTGGCCTCAAACTCACAGAGATCCTTTTGTCTCTGCCTCCCGAGTGCTGGGGAAAGGCATGCACCACCACTGCCTGGCGTGTGGAAGGATGAGGTCAGTACACCTGGACCATATCTGTATCTGCCTGGAGCCAGAAGATGACCTGCTTGCTACAGGAGGGCAGATGAGGGTGCCTGTACTTACAACCACCTCTGGACTTTGTAGACCAGACACCAGCCTATCCACTCATCCACCCATCAACCCATCCAACTCTTCAGCTAATCAGTCAGCCAACTAACCAACTAACTAATAAACAGTTAACCAACCAACGAGTCAGCATTCCCTGGGTGAGTACACTGGGCTCTTCTGAACAATGGACATGTAGACATATGCCCTCTTCTCATGGAGCCTTCAAAAGCACATGACTTCCAGTAAATGTAAGGGGGGAAAAACGGATGAAAGACAGCCGCAGGGGAGGCAAACTGCAGAGAACGAGAGAGGCTCACCAGAAAAGGCTGCTCTATGCCACAAGGCAGGCAGGCCCACCGCTTACGCTGGGCAGTGTCTCCTTTGTTCTGTGACACAACGACTCTGATGAGCAGTTAGGCTAGTTTGCATGCTCCAGTTTGGGAGGCTACAGACTGGAACGGACGGAGGTCAAAGCTGGTCCAATAAGTTTGCTCCTGCAGCAGTCTAGGTAACTATGGCCTGCATGTTCCTGTGCAACCTCAGCAGCCCAGGAGGTTTACAGGCTGGAGGGGCTAGAGGCCAAGCCCCAAGGAGGAAGCACAGATACTGTACCTCCTCACACAGCCCTCTTGTACAGCCACAGGCTGACACTTCTGAGCAGCTGTTCTCTTGGGCTTAGGTGTGGAGTCTATGCAACTGCACATGCGCCCCCGCTGGGCACAACCATTCAGTCTCTCTCTCTCTCTCTTTCTTATGCCCCTTGTGGGTTTCTGAGGTCATCTTTAGAAATCACAGTTCTTTCATCCATCCTCCTATAGGAACTTTTTTTTTTTTTTTTTTTTGGTTTTTCGAGACAGGGTTTCTCTGTGGTTTTGGAGCCTATCCTGGAACTAGCTCTTGTAGACCAGGCTGGTCTCGAACTCACTGAGATCCTCCTGCCTCTGCCTCCCGAGTGCTGGGATTAAAGGCGTGCGCCACCACCGCCTGGCCCTCCTATAGGAACTTAATGTATACATTATCTTGTATATGTATGTGTGAGTATGCAAGCCACAGTGCACATGCAGAAGTTAGAGGACAACTTGTGGGGATCACTTCTTTTCTTTCACCAAGGGGGTCCTAGGAGTTTGAACACAGGATATCAGGCTTCACAGCAAGTGCCTTTACCCACTGAGCTACCTCTCTAGCTGAGTGGATTTGATAGTTGATAATTTTTTTAGGTTTATTTTGTTTATAGTGTTTTGCCTACATATATGTCTGTGTACCATGTGCTAGAGTGCCCATGGAGACCAGAAGAGGTCATCGGATCTTCTGGAATCACAGATGTTTGTGGACAAGCATCTGAGTGCTGGGAACTGAATCCAAGAGTCCTCTGGAAGAGCAGTCACTGCTCTTACCACTGAACTACCCTCTCTTGTGCCGGGTTTTAATTGTTCTTAACCATGTACTTGCCAGATAGCAACATGAGCCCAAGGCACTTCTGGACAGCACCTGAAAGCTCACAGACTTTGGGTCACTGGCAGCTCCAAGAAGCTAAACTGGCAGCCTTGGAGCTAGAACTTTCAAAGGCCTTTAGTCTTGGTGGGATTCAGCCCTTGGCTCTGGGCTGTGTAGGTCTATGGGGGAGCTGCAAGAAGAAAGAAGGTTCCCAGCCAAGGGGGCAAGAGTTCCAGAAAGAGACATGAAGGGAGGTAGGGCAACGATTAGGGGTCCAGATATATAGAGCTCACAAGATCTCAGAGAAAGGCCGATATTGTTCTACTGGGGTCCCAAAACTATAGTGCTGATGAGTGTCCTCTCTGCAGTGGACCTTGCATGTCCCAAGCCCACAAAGTGGGTGGGGCAGATTGTGAGCCAAGCTGCTTCCCAACCAGCGGCCTCTGTCAGCATGTGCTAGTGAAACACTCCTTACTTTCTCATGGCGTGGTCTGGGCGGGACATAGGACACAAAAACCACAACAAGCTGGCAGGAACTTGCACGCAGACCTGTTCGACACTATTTATGTGAACATGCTACCGACTGGGCAGAGAAACTGAGGCACAGGGCAGTGCATAGACTTCTGCAGGTACCACATGTGATAAATGGAGCTCGAGTGGTACACTCCTCAGGTACCACTGCCTGCCAAATGCTGGAATACACATGGTCACTGGTACCCAAACAGGGCTTCAGTTGACACTCCTTGGGCAGACAATATATGTATTAGTACATACATATTACACACTTGACCTGCTCCCCAAACATTTTCATGTTCTAGAGCACTTCAAAGGGGCATCAAGGCCCACTGGACCCCAGGATCCCATTATTCAAGCTGAACATACACACAAGGGCAGGATGAGGTTGGGCGGTGATGGTGCACGCCTTTAATCCTAGCACTTGGGAGGCAGAGGCAGGAGGATCTCTGTGAGTTCGAGGCCAGCCTGGTCTACAAGAGCTAGTTCCAGGACAGGCACCAAAGCTACAGAGAAACCTTGTCTCGAAAAACCAAAAACCAAAATAAAGAAAACAAACAAACAAACAAAAAAAACAATTAGCAGGACCAAAGCAAAGCCAGCGTTGTGTGGTAAGTCTGCTTTATGGGAGGGGGAGGCCTCCAGGAATGCCTGCCAGTTTCCACAGAGTAAATGCTCACACTGAAGTCCACCGAAGCTACCAACAGTTTCACAGCTTGTGAATTTTCTGAACACTTAGCAATCAGTTTTTGCAAGCTGGTGTTTCTCAGAAACAGGGCAATCTGACTAGAGGCTGAGAAAGGGTTCCGGTAGCCAAGACATGGTGACTCTAGCAATGAGGTGCCTCCTTC